GATCCTCTGGTCGTTACAATCTCTTGTATCTTGAGGTGAAGATTCTCTCCGCTTTGCTTCAAATGACATTACAATTTCAACAAGCTGTCTCGCTGAAGTAAAATCTAGAGCAATTGGTCATACATCTACCGGCATCTGATTTTAACTCAATGGTGGTGTCTCGCCGGTGCATTTCGCGTAGCTGTTGAACTTTTCCAAGTGTTGGTACGTCTGTTGTTCGACAGCCTTTGGATATAGGCTTATCAAACGGGTTTTGCTGAGACGGGCTAAAATAAGCAAGATATTCATGTCTCGTCTTTTTTTTAAAGATATTTTTCTGAATTCGGCCGTCAGATTGACTACGAGTGCTACCAAGCGAAGCTGGATTACCACGCACAAACTTTTATATAAGGAGTCTGAGCTGGCTTACATATAGCTGAGTAGCTTAAAGTCTGTTCCTACGTGCAGAACAAAGACCCTTTAAGTCCTAAATACTTATCCTGCTCTTGTTGTAAAGTGTTACATTAACATTTTATCTAACTAAGTGAAAAATATATAGTTCACATTCACCAACTATAATGTAAAAACCGTATGTTTTGCCGGAAAGTCTGCAGCTTTGTCCAGCCACAACTATCCTCTGGAGTGCCAGTACTCTGTTAACAAATTTCATATTTATAATGTAATTAAACATAACATCGTTATCGTCTGGTAAAGTACCACGATGAAAATCATGCCTCGTACTCGGAATGTTATTGACTTACCCTTTAGGTATAAACTGTGGAACACGTGTGTTATTAGCTGTTTTTTCAACATCAATAGCAATAAAAATGAATTTGGTTAGCACCGTTGAGCTAGCTCTGATTATGAAGCGAGATAATATATTGATTCCCGCTCTTCTTCATCTTCACTTAAACACCTTTGACACGGCAAGTGGATCCATCTTCTGTGATTTATTTAACGCAAACAAGACTAAAAGCATCCTCTGTTTAAGATGATATTAACCACGCCGCACTTATCACAATCTGGTTGTATCTATTGTAGCGATTAAGTACGTCGTGCTCACATAATTAACACAAGATACGCTAGGCCAGTACTTGTCGATGGGTAAATCTGAGCGGATGACACAATTGGCAATCTTAGACCTGGGAGCGACTATCGCTTGCTGGTAGGCGCTCACTAGCTATAAATTAAGTTGATTAGAAAACCAACATATGTGCTTGAATAGAAGTGGGTGGAGTTCCCACAAACGCCAAAAGAGTCTTATAGAGCGGAAGCGCTCATGTCATACGACATTTTAGAGTAAAACAAAAAAGTCTTTTTTGAAAGCAAATACTTCAAAAGCCAATTGACGCTGTCTTTCTTCAAAATGAACAACAGCGGATCGATCTCGCTAACTTTTAGCTAATAGGTCGCGCACGAACATAGATTCAAACGTGCGGTACATCGTTTTCATTATGGGGACTATTGAAGCAACAGAAGTCGCGAAGACTCGCACAGCCAAATATGGGACCATAGCCAACAGTCAAGTAAAACAAGAAGTAGTCGATTTTGTCCAGAGTTGAGAGTTTCAATCGACGTTACGTCTGATACCATATTCGATTAGCAGAAATGGTTTTTTTAATCTTGGAGAATAGCCGTACAGGTGCGACTCGCACTAAGCCATTCCGTGTCCACCCGGCCTTTTACAAGGTAGCGGCGAGCGTTGCATCACGAAGAATACATATTTCATTCGTAAGGGTCGGTCGGGGCTGGATAAGGAAGAATCTTCTAGCACACCAGAGGCAATAGACTATGCCATTACGTGTCCACCCGGCCTTTTACAAGGTAGCGGCGAGCGTTGCATCACGAATAATACATATTTCATTCGTAAGGGTCGGTCGGGGCTGGATAAGGAAGGATCTTCTAGCACACCAGAGGCGATAGACTATACCATTACGTGTCCACCCGGCCTTTTACAAGGTAGCGGCGAGCGTTGCCTCACGAAGAATACATTTTTCATTCATAAAGGTCGGTCGGGGCTGGATAAGGGAGGATCTTGTAGCACACCAAAGGCAATAGACTTTAGCCAGGCTAAAATGAAAGGATGATCGATTGGCGACTAAGCAGCGTCGCGGTTTTTGTGGCTGTAACATCTATTTCATCCACACCCATCGTGTACAATTCTCTTTTCATTGAGATATTCAAAGTTTCGAGCTCCCACTTAATGCCGATATGCAAATCCTTTACGGGAATTTGTCACGTCCTGTAGGGCGTTTGGTTTTTAAAGGAGAGAATAGGTATTTTGTACCTCGCCAATGCCAAGAGAATGAGATTTGGCCTTAATTTGGTCGACTCTCTTCAACAGAGGTTTCACAGCCAAAATTTGGAAAGATGGGCATCCAAAGAGCTGTGCAAAATCGTCAAGAGCTTTAACATGTCCAGAAGCGTGGTACAATTATGTGCTACGCATGACTTATATGTTCGGGAAGAAATTTGGGGAGGTGTCGAATATTCTATGTGTAGATACGATATCTGTACGTCTCACGGCAGAAAAACTCGTAAAAATGGCAAAGGTACTATCAAACTCACAGGTCAAGCTTCAGTGCTCTATCATTTACGATACGATACAATTACTACTGTACCGTTACGAGTCATTGATCGCTGCAAAGGTAGAATACGTCAGGCGCTCTCACCTCTCACTTGTTGGAGCATTTGGTGATGCATGATCGTCAGCAAAACCGCGATAATGCCTCAAAAACTACAACATAAGAGATGTGCGCGACACAAGATGTCTTCCATTTTTGTTAGGACATGAATCACAATTTGAGATAGCACAATGCTACCACACTTTTGGTGCAGAACAAGCAATCCATGGCAACAATATTACCAGGGACTTTTCACAGCAGGGCTGCCGTAGCTCGAAGCTTACTAAGGTCACTGACCTTACGTTCTACCTGTGCGAGTGTAGCGGATTGCAATCCGCTACCCCCGAGAGTACCTAAAGGCGTTAACCAAAGCAAACTTACTTTTCCAATCAAAAATGAAAATGTATTTATTTGTTTTATTTGCGGCTAAGCCGACCATGTCTGAAACCTTAGACTTTTCTAGTTAAACAGTAAAAACTAATTAATGTGGCAGTCCCGCTACGTAGCGGCTTCTTGATACGGTGTAGCCAAACCATTGTGTGATTACATCGTCTTGTGTAATTTGCACTACTGTACCGTCCCACCATCTTTTGTGGCCCACCCTTTCACACCAGGGTACGTGTGACCCGATTATCACCAATCACCTCGACGAGGCACAGGAGTAGCAGTTGAGGCTTCCCGCAGGGCGGCTCTTATGCCATAGTATCCACGTTCGGTCCTGAACTCTCGTGTGGAATACGGCTTCCGCTCGGCGGAATCCGCTACTGATGCGAAATAGGCGATCACTCGATCGTCAGGCGTTTGCCCCGGCGACTACACAGGCTGAGCTTTACCAGCGAAAAGATCTCCGAGCTCGCTTCTTAGTACCTCGGAGGATCCCAATGGATAAGTACCACGCTCGA